GTTCGATGGCATACAAGCAGTAGAAATAACGACCTTTCTATCCAAACTTAAACAACACTCTGCTGTTAATACCAACAAAAGGAAAAAGAAATATCATAGAGCGTTGGGATTTTTAATGTCTTTTGACCCAAAGTGAATAGAAACAGTTTTGCCCCCTCTCACCTTATTCCAGTACTTGTTCACATGCTTGCATGTTTCTGAAAGCTCTTAAATTTTTAAATCTAGGTCTTAAGAAAAGTCTGTCAATCAGATAACAGCTCTGAAAACTTAATTTAACAAGTAGTAGCTTAAAGCCCTACAGGCAGTGCCTGTGGCTGATAGGCATTTAATCAGCTGTGGGATCATTTCTCAGTGCTGTGTCTCCATAACTGTTGCTCATTGTCGATATAAACAGATTTGGTAAGTAAATGTGAGGAAATTATCTGACTTTTGGAGATGTTTACCTGAATTTCAGAGTTAAAGCTAAGTGGAATTCTTCCCCTGGCAAAAAGTGCAACAGAAAGCAAACATGCTTTTAGTTGGATTACAGGCATGGTTAGTCATCTGACAGACAGTTTTAATGGAGTCAGAAAGATATGCTGGGGAAACATGCTGACCTACTTTTCTTTCTTTCTGTCTTTCTTTCTTTCTGTCTATCTTTCTGTCTGTCTGTCTTTCTACTTTTAAGCAAGTGAAATATTAATTTAAAAACTCCCCATGAAGTTAGATTTTGCTGACAGAGCTCATTTTATAATTAATTTATTTACAGTTCTGCTTGTGGTATGATAGATGGTTTGAGTAATGGAATTTCATCAGGTTGTTTTTGTTTCTGTTAGGAAATTGGGTTACATCTGAGAAATACATGTTCTTCCCTCTTTCCAGGACAAAGCAATCAGCTTCAAGTTAATGAATGATTTAAGTCTAATCCTCTGAGGGAGAACTTTACAAACCATGTAAAATGACAGACTAACAAAGCGTATTACATTTGTATCGTTTTCAACGCATTATATTTTTAATCATTTTTTGTCTTTAAACTTGTGGGAAGAGGGATTACCGGCAGATAGTGTCGTGCATTTTGCATTTGGGATTGTTTTTTCCTATGATAAGTAGGTCGATGCTCCACTGTTAGTGTTTTCTTGGAGGCAGAACTCAGTGTTTTTAAACCTGGGAAATTCTTAACCATAAAACTTGAGAGCCTGAAAAGAAAGCATTAAATTAAGTAGGAAAATCTAGCAGTGAAGGTGGATTAAAACATCGCAAACAGAAATACTAAATTGAATGATACTGGAAGATAAGGGAAAGCTTTTTAAAAGCAGTGCAGGCATCACTGCACTCTCTCCCTTAGCAGCAGGCACACATGCAGTGCATCGGATGGCTCAGGGGTGCCAGGTTGCTGCCTCCCTGGCACGGAGATGTGCTTTACTCCCTTGGCAGCAACAGATAGTTTTGATGAGGAGGTCTCTGTGCGGTTGAAGGAGCAGGAGAGGTCGTTGTTCCTTGACTTAGCGGTCAATCCAGAGACACTGTTTTCACCTGCTCTGTCTCCTCCTATTTCCGTCATTCAGGTTTCCTGCTGTCAGTCAGCCCTGGTGCTATGGGTGCTGCTGCAAATCCTTTACTTCTTCCCATCTTTCCTGAAAAAAAAGTTCTGGTTTCCTTGTTTTTATTTTAACTCCCAACTAGCTGGTTACAGTTTGTGTTATGGAAATAGTACCACAACGTAAGAGAGGCAGAAAAAATGGAAATTGCCAGGAGTTGCAGGAGTTTACAGGGAGTGATATTACATTTCAAAGAATCCACAAGTTACTTGTGCTCTTAGGAAATGTAGTACTTTTACTTGCTTTCATACATTGTGTACTTTTAGAGGATGTGCCAGCGGCAGAGTAAAGACTGAAATTTATTTTTTTATAGTTTTAAAAACTAAGTATAAGATGTTTATTTTGGCTTATGCATGCTTTGGCTAATGCATGAGTGTGTTTTCTATATCTCAAGAGGACTGAAATTGCCATTGCATGGGCTTTAGCCATTTTGTAACCTAGAGGCATCAGTAGAGGAGGCATCAGCCCAGGAAGACAGATCAGCAGTAAATGAACGTCCTTATGTGATGAGTTGCTGCACCTTGCATGTTCAACGTCACTCACTGCACCGTAGCTGTGTGAGCTGCTCCTTATATAAAACAACTGTCTGCCCCCTGTTTTTCCTGCTGTAGCGCTGCTTCTAGGTGACCCATGACATGGTTTGTTTTGATTATAGTGGAGAGACAATGGGGAAGAGCCACTCAAAAAAGTGTCACTTCTGAAATTTCATCATGGTGGGTTTTTTCTGAGACAGAAGAATCGTTGATACTGGAAGATGGAGCATTCGATTTAGTGAAGCTTGAGTTGCTCTCTGACAATATTGGTGTGCCTCTGTTGGGCAGGAAGCAAGCCGGGCTCTTGTGTTTCAAATTAGGTGTTTCATGAAGATAGATGTGGAAGTTCAGAGCTCAGAGTGTGTTTTGTCTCATAGTCCACGTTGCACAGTGCCACACTCTCTGATTATGCATTGAGGAGCTCAGGGATCAAACCCATACAGTCTAGGTCCCTGTAACAAGTGACATGGAGAATTGTTAGTTCATAAGAGCCTTTTGACAGCATTTTCCTACAAGAATGGTGCTTGATTTGGCCCTCTCTGTAATTTGGAAGAGAACCTCAATGCATGCTTTCTTTTTCCCCTTTGAATGCTGCTGCTAAATCAGAACATCCAGAAAATAAATTGAAAAGGAGTACAAATAATTAAAAAAACCCCTAAATATAAGCAAGATAGTTGTTATTAAGAAAAAGAAACCCTGTTATGTTCAACCCTCTCCCATAAAAAAATGAAAGTACACAGGGAGAGAAGAGATAAGCAGAAAAGTTTTATTCCTTTAATTCTGTAGAAGGCTTAAATCCTGCTTATGCTAAGGAGAAGGTCAAAGCCTTTTCTTGGCAACTTTTCTTGTTTTCTAAGTCAGTTACAGCTATGTCACGTGTTTATTAGGACATTTTCCTACTAGAATTTAAGCATGGCAAGTCATGAACATATATAGAACCATACAGACACATCAGCTGCCTTACACAGGGTATGCAGTATTAAGCCCCCTGAGTTTTGGGGTCTTCTTTCTTGACTGGGGGGACAAGGTGGGGAGATAACCCTATGGTAAATGGGCCTTGCAGTATGGAATAATGGACAAGGAACATTTAAACATATTCCCTAGAAACCAGGGTGTGGGAAGAATAAGGCAATTAGGAGGAATCACTAGATATCCTGTCTTAACAGTTTATGATATATATTTTTAATGAGTATTTAATCTCTAATGCTGTGTGATGGATTAGAAAACAGGGGGAGTCAGGCCTCTTTCTGTGCATACTTCTATGTTTCCCCTTCATTGAACATTTTCTCTGGGCAAATTGTTTAACTTGAGCTGGTTGGAGGTATTCCAGCACAACAGAGCTTCACTGAAAAATAACACTGGATTGAATCCCAAAATGCAGAGTTGTCAGCATCGTGTAGTGTTCAGATTTGCAAAATCTTGGGGTGAGTTGCAAGGGGGCCCGGGAAGGATCCTTGTCGGTTCCTGTCCTCCACGCTGTGCGTCCCAGGCCCTGGGGGAATTGCCTGCGCCGTGCCTGCCAGGCGGCCTGGGGCTCTGGGGCGGTCCTGTGGCTGGCTGGGGAGGTGGATGTTCATCAGCTCTTCCAGGAACTGAATAAAGCTCTGCTTTTGGAAATCGGAGTTTTCAGCCCGTGCTTCCCATGGGGGTTGTAGCCCAGGAACAATATCCTGAGGATCTCATAAAAAGCCTTCTGTAAGTGCATCTTGCATCCGGCATTTGCCACAGTCTTGGAGAAGACCATCCTAGCTGGAAGGAGGTACCGAAGCTGTGTATGATGAGTTCAGTGCCCAATCCCACACTGTTGAAGGACCTGAAAGATTTGTCATTGGCATCAATGAGATAAGCTGAGGGTAGAAACCACTAGTAATGCCAGTTAATCCTATTATGGGTAGTCGTTTGTAATGTCAACTGGCGACCACCACCTTCACTTAGTTAAGGACCAGCTGTGTGTTGAATTCAGAGTCCTTGCTCAGCCCTTGGCTTCCCTTTCAGACGTCATCTCACGTTGAAGTTGCATCCTTTGTTTTCATAGAGAAGTCTGGGAAAACTAGGTCAGTTTATCCAAGTAGAAATTATTATTTTATTGAGTTAACTCTGTGATGACCTGCTGCCTGTTTGCCTTCTCAAAATGAACTCCCTTGTGTGCAGTAAGTCTTGCACTGGAAGTTGCAGAGGCCTCAGTAATCACTTTGATTTCAAATCAACAATAAAAAGGCTGCTTTTTTTAGTATCTTGTTGTTTCCTGGAAACAAGTGTCTGTCTGCTTTGCTCCTCGTATGATCACTACATCAGGCTGGTCTGGTGTACTGTGAAAGCGCTTAATGTAAAAAGGTTATGTGCTGGCTTTACTGGGGATATTTAAAATATCTTACGGAGAAATCGGGATTTGATGCTGCTTGACCCTGTCTGAGAGAATTAAGCTCTTTAAGCCAGTCCTGTAGTTACTAGCATGCCCTCTTTTTTAAATAATCTGGTCTATTTACTCCTGTTATTTCAGAACTTAAGTCCAGAAAGTCCCAGACAAGAAAGCAATTTTTTTGTTGTTAATGAAAGAGTAGTTGGAACGTATTTTAAAGAACTTCTTTGGCATTGTACATAAAAGATAAAATATATCAAAATAGACAGTCTGATAATTAGGTGCAGGCTTGTGGAGTGATTCATGTCATAACGTGAGTGCTGAAACAGCTGAGGTTGCTGCAGGTGTGTTAAGGGAATTCGACCCCGTAATGCCACGGTGCTTCTGCCGCTACATAAAGCAGGAGTACAGATGTCCGGAGAGCCTGCATTAATAGATGAAAAGCAGTATTTCTGTGTGTGAATTATGGATGGAGCAGCATATATTAAACACAGAAGCAATAGCCTTTGTCTCCCAGGCACTGTTTGCTTTGAAGAGTCATGTTAAAGCCTGCTGCTATCCCAGGCGTAGAGATCGTAGGTGCAGAGACCCTGGGTGCGAGCTGGGGCTTCAACTGCTGCAGGTTAAGCCCCGCTGGGGCTCAGCGCCGAGTTACACCATGCATGGGCAGAAAGGGATGTCCTGCCCAAAGAAAAACCTGGGAGGCAGAGACATTTCAACTGCCTCAGCTCGCCTGTGTGGCATTTCAGGGTGGGCAGTGAGACGCTAAAGCTGAAAGTGAATAACCTCGTTTACCTGTGTCAGCAGCCAGCTTCAGCGGGGCTTTTATGGGAATGCGCTGACGTTGCCAGCCCAGCACTCCCAGATCCTGCCGGCTGGCTTGGCTTGGCCTCCCTGAAATCCTGCGGATGGAAAGAAGTCGTCCCCTGAACTCCTTTCGTTCTCCTTGGGTTACAGTTGTGAAAAAAGGACGATGTAATCTTAAAAAAAAAAAAAAAAAGAAGTCCCCTGCCCCAATAACAGATATACAGATTGTTTATTCCAGTTGCTCGGCTTTTACTAAAGGAGGGGAAGTAAACAACATGCTAAAATGCAGCCAGATGCAATAGTTGAGTGTATTAATTTACTCTTTGATGAAGCCTTTCTTTTAATATTATGGCAAAACAGTTTTAATGACAGACACTGTTAATTAAAAAATCTGACCCAGCTCCAGACCAAGCCCACCGGCTGTGTTGTACTGCATATTCATGTGAGGCTTAAACAGTAATTTTTTTGGCTGATCTTCCAGTACTTTTAGGTCCACCTGGTTAAGTAATACAGTTCCTCCCTTCTCTTGCTCCCGGGCCGCCTCTCTTGGCAGAGCAGGTCATTCGGTGGCAGCTCCAGCCAGCCGGGAGAGGAGCCCAGGCAGGGAGGCTGAGCATGGCGGTGGAGCTGCACAATCTGTGTCCCCCTGCCCACCGCTTCAGGGGCCAGGCCTGGCACATTGAGAGCTGGAAATAACCACCCGATCTTAATTTTATTTATTTATTTTGTTTTAGTAATAGAAGTATCAACAAGCCTTTTCCCTTAGGAAGGAATTTTTGTAAGTTCGTAATGGTGTGTTTTCCACGTTAGCTTCATAGGAATAGGTAAATAGTAGCGCAGCTATTTCTTTGCTTTTATTATTCCTGGCCTAGTGGGAGGCCAGGGCTGCAAGCTGCCGAGGCTGTAACGCAGGCTAATGCTGCGAGTCACGACTACGGCTCCCTTTCTTAAAACATGCCGGGAACAACTGTTCCTCCGCCTTCATGAGCTCAATTTACGGTTGCAGGAGGCAATGTGTTCTTTGTGCTTGATGAAGTACACCGTGCACGCAAGCCTCTTCAGATGTGTTGTCAGTTGGCAGCTCTCTCGCTAGATGCACCTTTACACAATTGCACAGGACACCAGGAGGTACAAATGTGAAATTTAGCCTTGGGGGCAAAACAAAGAAATGAAACTTAGGTATGAATGTGGTGTTTATCCATCTGCAGATACAGATATTAGACCTGATCTCCTACTACGCTACTGTAGTTTTACACTAATAGGACTCTGCTGCTATCAGTGGAGTAGCACCACTGCAAGACAAAAATAGCAGTGCTGATAAGTTAGGGGCTGTTATTTTTAATTCTGGTAAATAATGTAGGATTGAACCCGGTTTGGGGAAAGCCAAACTGCATTCACTGCATGAAACCAGCCGTAATAAAAGGGAGAAATGCAGGTGGCATGCCGTCTTGGTATTGCTCCTGAACTTCTGCTCTTCCTTCTGGGGAGCCATTGCCCTGGGTAGTGAGCGGCCACGTGTGAGCAAAGGGAAGGGGTCTTCCAGCTCACCTCTTTTTTTTTTTTTTTTTTTTTTTTGTAGCCTTTCCATTTGCTGTCCCATAAAGTCAGTTTTATCATACGTCGTCAGAATTTGTCCCATAGCTGGGACTCATTCACTACATTGAATGAATGTGCTTATTATGGAAAGCTGTTTTGGTGGAGGAGTCTGTTAATGACATTGTCAGGAAAGACATTGCAATTTGTCATGGTAGGTAGCTTTCCAGTTAAATAAAAGGCAAGTCATGGTCTTTTCCTCTGTGTGTGGTAGGATGAGGAATAAAATAGCTGCAGCAGGTTGAAGTGTACAAAGTGCTACAGTCAGGCCAGGCAGCAGGCAGGAGTAGAGTGCAGTATCTGGTCTTCGTTTACAGCCGTGCACTTCACTGGCCAGCAGTGGTCCTGGATAATGCCCAACAAATTGAATTGATGACTTTGGATAACCCCAGATTCTCTGGTTGAGAGGCATCGTACTACCATGACTGTCTCCTAAGAGAAATTAATGTAATATTTGTAGCTGAGTAGACTGATTTACCTTTTGGTGACCCTGGAGAGAAAGGTCAGGTTCAGGATATTTTTACCTGTAATCGGTTATCCATAAAGAGTTAGTGTACCAGGCTTTGGGATTGTAGCTCAAAAGGGCAGTTGCTTTGAGAAGGTAGCTCAAAAGGGCACTTGAACAGCTGAAATCAGATGAGACAGATTTAATGGCCTCTTAGTGATTTCTGACTGAAAGTTCAGAGCTTGAAATTTAGGGATTTTTTTCTTTACCCAGCCTATGGTAAAACAAATGCACTATAGCTTAATAGAAATTTAATTTCAGGCTGAGTATTTAGAAGTGTTTTTCATCTGCTGTGTATGCGCTTGGTCACTTCAGCTGTAAGGGAGAGAAAGAATAATCACATTGTGTTTGTGGTCTTGTATATTTTTAGCTAATGTGTTAAGACACTCCGATTCCAGAAAAGCCATCCTCCTGTTCCCCAGAGTATTTCAGTTTAACCAGCTGTATGCAGAATTTTATTCAGACTGCCACAGAAGTTACTAGTAAATCCACTGGGATTTTGACAGCCAAAACAGTAGATAGTAAGCACAACGCTTCATTTTCCTGAGGGTTTTAGTTTCGTGGAGATTCTGACGTGGGATGGCATTTCACAGTTGGTTACCCGCAGAAGCCCTGTGAGTTTGGGAAACCTCACTGGATGGAGTGATTGATTGATTCCCAAAGTTCCTTCCCATTCCTGCACTGAGCAGGGAAAGGGACGACTGGCAATACCCACCAGGTCATGCTGTTACTCCTCAAAACTGTTGCAGGTGGCTTGGTAGATCTTAATAAAAATTGTGGGGTTTATATTTAGAGTAAGGAAGTGACTGATTTCATGCAGAATACTGAAAGAGATGGGGCAGGGCATGAACAAGGAGGGAATAACAGATGTGTAGTTTAATTCAACAGCAGCACAGGATGCACAGGGACATGGTGGGACCTGCCTATGGAGATGCTTCATCTCACAGATGGGAATTTCTACCTATATTAAGTAACTTGAGGTGATGACTATGTGAAATACAGGTGGAAACATATCAGTGAGTAAATTTGGTCTTAGTCAATGGGTATGGCTAGGCTATTTCCATTGCTGATGTATTGGGCCTTCATGGGAAGTATTAGTGATTTATTCTGCCTGCAATTGTTAATGCTAACAACCTTCAATAGCTCTTTAAGCATCAGCTGTTAAGAGTGTGTGGATTATCCTATTTCACACTGGCAATTAGTTGATGATATTAAAGCACTTTGAAAATGGAAATCGCAGGGCAAATGCTAGTTAAACAGTTTATCATTAGATGTATAATCGTGTCTTTCCTGCCTGCTTTGACTGCAATACGTGGGGAGATGGTAAGGGAGACTAATGAGTCTGCTTTTGCTTCAGCCCCTGGTATAGATACTGTGCCCTGTACGTCGTGGCTCTAATCCAGCTGCACCTCTTGCTCTCTGTTCTGCCTGCCCACACCCGCATGCTGCACAACGGATTGTCTTCTAGTTTTGTTCTACTTGTTTGCTGTCTTTCTGGTTTTGCAACTCCTTAATTTCTCATTTGTTCTTAGGACCTGTTTTAGGGGGGATTGTTTTCATTTGTATTTCTGGAGTCTTGATTTTTATTCTTTGGGCAGTTGTTATTCTGTTTGACATGTTCTGCAGAACTTGAACCTATAGTCAATATAAAGGTAAGCATTAGTGATATATTCATGCACCTGGAAACACTTTATGGGCTTTTGTTTTTTTTTATCCTGCAGAAGCATTTCATGGAGCCTTCTGCAACATTCAAGCCAAATCCGCCTTTAGAACCTTTTTTTTTTACTTCTGCAGCTGTTTCAGGTCTTGGATTGGCAGTTTCAGGTACCCAAATTATAGATGCTGAGTTTGCTTTTGGATGTCTTAAAATTAAAAAGAAAACAAAAACAAACAAACAAACAAACAAAAACAACAAGAAAAAAACCTTTTCTCTTAAATGATAGTAAAATGAGGTAATAAAAATAATAATTTAAAATAAATTTTAAAAAAATACCAAAGACGTACCTTTCAGCTGTCTTCAAGGGATATTATTCTCAGCCTGTTGTTCTGCATTGGCTTTTCAGTTTTGGTGCTACGTCTGAGTTCAGTTAGTATTGTTTTCCTTCAAGGGACTGGAAACTTCTTTTTTGCTCATTCCATCTACTAGTATTTCAGGGATGTGACAATAGCAGGTGCCAAATTTCATGTCAAAAATAAAATTTTCAGGCTGATGGAATCCTTGAAACCACAGATCAAGTTTCAGGCCAGTTAAATAAAGCTGTAGAGCATCCATTTGTATCATTCATTCATATAATGAAACCTGTTCTTATAACTCAGTTCTTGATATATTAACCCCGCAGTTATCCTCATACATAAATGGGAGATGTGTTGCTTTCGTCGGTTGTAATAGGATATAACCATATAAATCCCCTGTGCATGAATGGAAAAATAGAGGCCCTTAGGCTATAGGTATCAAAGGTCTCCCCTATACTTACAATAGCCTAATAAGGTTATTTTGGATTATTTTGGAGGCATAGGTAATTACTCACAGACTCCCTATAGCTAGTGATTCATTGTTCACTACTGAAACAGTTCTAAACGAATTATGTTTTAAACAAGCAAATCCTTGGCCTTTTATTTTTTGGGGGGGAGAACTGGAGGGACACAAAATTCCACCATATTCTTCGTTAAAATGCACTGCTTGCTAGTTAAAAGGTCCCTGGTATTTGAACCAATTTAAAATGTACTATCAGGCTTCTTGCTGTTTTGGTTCCATGAATGTGTATTTCTGAATTTCACATTTTGATGAAAATATTATTGTTGTCATTAATTTGATATTTAGAAAAGACTGTGGATACAAGAGCTCAGTGCAATGAATAAATCAGTTGGAGTTAACTGTCCTTGGGGATAGAATCAATCACTGTTGTAGAAGAGGGTGACATTTAAAAAAGAAACTCAGAAGAAAATGTCATGCTTAAAAAATTAGATTTAAACGCACTAGGTCCTGATTGATTTTTATTGCACTCAGATGGATACACTGATTGATTATCGGCCTTACAAATGTTTAGTACCTTTCTCACTTCTCTAATAATCAGAATAATCTAATTTTCAATGTCATTTAAGTTACCGTATTCAAGGTTATAATAGATCATATTTCTAATAAAACATAGCAATTATGTAATGAATAATACAAAGCTGCAAGGCAGAATTCAGATTCACCTCTGTCAAAAAAAAAAACCAAAAAAACCCACCAGTGGCTGGAAGAGACGGCGTACGTGAACGCAGCCGACAGGACAATGTCCTCTGGATTTGTGGTGTTTTCCTCCATTCCTGGAGTGTTGGCTGGGGTGCATTTGCCATAGCTGAACATGATTCCTCAATAGGAAACCAGGGGTGGGCTTGAATTCTGTAATATATTGCTCACTCTGTGTCTGGGGAAAAACGATAGTGTGCCAGGTGCTTATGAAATTTCTTCCATGATTGTTTCTCTGTGCTCCCTGTTAATTTTTATATGTGTCTGTAGAGAGATACTATCTCACTTAATCGAGATGTTTTCTTGTGGCAATTGTACCTGGCAGCTGACATAGTTGATTTCTCTGAATCAGCTACAAAATATGCAGGTTTCAATGTGTGTTGGTTTTGTACTTGAAGCCACTTACAGGACTGTGTACTTGTTATTGCCTTTGTCCATTAGAAATGGGAGTTGTGCGTTTGAAACGTGCTTTGCCTCCAATCGTTTTCTGTATGTCAAAGCTCAGTTTTGGCATGGGAATTTGTTTTAACATAGTTTCCTGTTCTTTTTAAAGACTGAGCAGTTTTGCCTAAAAGAAGACATCATTTCATCTGGAAATCACGACCTAGGAAAACCAATCTATTTATAACTACGTGATGTTCCGCATATTTTAATGCTATGTTTGGCTTTCGATTGCATTGTTGTTGAAATGTGAACGGGAGTCTTACCATTCTGAATTAACGGCCCATCAGTTTGTGAAGCTTGATTGTGTTGCTTTCAAGATGGTTGTTTTGTTCATTTTCTTACCCTGGAGCAGGGAAGATCAACTTCCTTGAGGTCCCTCATCTCTGTACCTGCTTCTGCCAGCTCCCGGGTATGGGAGCCGCATGTGATGTGCAGCTGGGTGCTAGCTTTGTCCCGGGGGTCGGAGAGCCTTGTGCAGCAGCAGCAGCAGCATCGGGGGTGCTAAGTCTCCCTTGGTTCAAGGTTCTCCAAGGTGACAGTTGTGAAAGATGTCCTTACTGACTGCCATTCGTTATTGTGTGCACAGTTTATTGAAGGGTGACACGTGGCATGTGTGGGGCGTTTGTCCTGATGGATCAAACTTGGCAGTGGCAATAGGTAAGCCTTTTGCATATTTGACTGAAATTGTCCACAGCTGCCAACTTCTGCCAGAATTAGTAATTTTTAGCAGCTGCTGCTGGAATTGGAGAAGTCAGAGCATAAGGGAGCTGTGCAAGACTTGTGGGTTTCCACCCTAGCAAGCAGCTTGGTGCTCCTGGAAGTCATGGGTGCAGTGCTGAGCATCAGCCCCACCGCCCATGTGTGGCACCCTTTGCCTGCGATGTCGGGCAGCCCAGGCTGTCTGGCGTTCAGCAAGGGGTAGATGGCTTCCTGAGGTGCAGGAGAGCGAGCCTCTGCCCAGAGGGGAGAGTTGGCAGGTCTGCAGCAGTTGTACCTCAGCTCACCTCCAATTTCTTTTCTCATCAGCGTTCGCAAACAAAAGGAGTCTTTTTGAAAACCTCCCTTGCGCCCAGCACTGTGCAATTACTGACTTGCTCTGTGTGCTTTATGGTGCTTTTCAGATTTGTTAGCTTAACGAGTAACTTCCAAAATATTTAGGGACAAGAGAAGTGTGGTTTTACAAGAATGCGAACTAACTGGAAACACTAGTAGTTGTCGCTACAGGAACAAAACCAGTTAACTAGTACACAGAGCTCTTCAAAGGTCACAGTGATCTCTGAGAGGCAAAACTGCAATGATAGCATTTCAAGTCATGAATTTATAGCTGATTAATCATTCTAATATATGAAAGGTGCTGTCTGTCTGTTCTGGGCATGTGGGGAAGCACAGGTTATGCAAGTAATTGGAAGAATTGGGTTGCGAGCTGCAGGTTCTCCTTTGGACATGTTTGTGCCACCTTTGACAAAGGGGAGTACGAACACTTGCTGTTCTGTAATTCTACCTGATTATCTAGAAACTGCCTAAATCTCTTGGGCTGGATCCCAGACTCTTCTTTGGCCAAGTGGTGACTAAGTTTGGTGGACCTGAGGGGCTTGCGTTTGAGACTGGACGATTGCCAGCATTATGACATGCTTGAAATGATTCCGCTCAAGCAGGAGAATTGCTGCGTGGTTACTAAATGAGAGTGCCAGGGTCCTCCGAGAGAAACTGTTTGTGTCTTTCCTATACTTAGTTTCACCTACAGCAGGCCCTGCTTTCCTTGAAAAATGCATCCTTCCCTCCTGCAGCTTTTGTGCCCTGCCCATTGCTTCAAGCAGAAGAGGGAAAATGTGTCCGAGGCTAAGGAAAGCAGTGGCAAACCTGGGGTGAAGAGAACGGACTGGATGGGACAAGAGATGATGTTCGGCCCCTCTACCCTACCATCAGGTTAGGGGGATGAACGTTTGAGGGTAGGGTCTGGTCCTTAAAGCTAAGGCAACAGAAAGTGCCTTCACCAGCTTACAACCCTGCCATGGCTGCCTGCAGGTTTCTGGGTGTGGAAGCACAAGTCCTGGCCTGTACGTCGAGGGGACAGGGAAGCTGTCATGGGAAGATGGATCGGAGCAGACGTGCTCAGGCAAGGGCTTGCATCGCTCAGCCGTCCGAGCAGCACTGAGACGTGGCTTCCTCACGTACCAAGATACACCTTCCTTCATTCTCTTTCCCCACACCACCACCTTACTTGTTTTCTTAGCTTTTTTAACTTCCAGTATTTCTCACAGAACAAGAGAGCTTCCATACTGTCCCCTGTCGGGAGCTCCTAAATAATGCAGCCATAGAGTCAGAATTTAGTGCACAAGTAATGAAATTCATAACCTGAGTTTTCTACAGCAGCATTAACTGTGACACAGATTCATCACTGATGTATCATCATTAAAAGGCAGTGGAATTGCATCGGGGATTGATGTGATCATATGCACGTAAAGATCAAGATACAAAAAGGTGTGATTTATGTAATATAAGCATAGGCTGTAATCCAAAACCCTTCCCACATGCGGTGTGACAGTTCCTGTTCCCAGAGCAGTGATGGCTTTTAAATTTACTGGGTGAATGTGTGTGTTCATATGTTTTTATTTAACTCTTTAAAAAACGTAGTGTTGTCTTAATCTTTTTTCTTTCTTCTTTTTGCATTGAATTATAGTTGTAGTTGAATCTGTGCAATAGTTCAATGTTATTGAAATTCTTTATAGTTTTGGAGTCTGGGTGTTACATGTCAGCACTTTATTGTGTTATCTTACAGGGAATATAGAAACACTGCCATGTTTGATGCAGCCTTAGCGAAGACAAATGTAGGAATTATAAAAAGTATCCATAGAGGAAGGAGAGAAGTGTTATTCAGGTTTTATCATTATTATAAAGGCTATTGGAATCTTTGAAAAAAGGTAATGATGAACAAAACCTGTTCTTAGTTTTCAGGATGTGTTAATTCTCCCCTTCCTACCCTTTGGTGAGCTGTGCCCCAAAAGAAAGAGGACAGAACCAGGCCAGCTGGGTGATGTGAACTGACCAGCAGCTGTCCCTCTGGTGGCCTTTGGAGCGGAAGGGACATCAGGTACAGCTGCAAAGGTAGCTGTGCCAGGGTAGCACGGGAGCGTGACAGGGTTCCTGCCAGAGTTAGCTCCTGGCCTCTGGGAGCTCTTGGCAGCTGCTCCAAAGCCTGGCCTAAATAACGTGTTTGTCTTCCATGAGGAGTTCAAAGCTATTGAGATAAGTAGTTGCTGAGGCCGCCAGTTTGGCAAATTTGTCAATCAGCTCGCAGAGCTATAAGTAAATGGGGCTCTATTACATAGGCTTATTGCTCTTTGCGGTTGTGTAGGAGTTTACATAATTTTCTAAGGAGCTCTTTTATTTGCTAAGTACAGCAGCAATTAGGATTTACTTCTGGAGCGCGGTGGCAGTTTGGAGCACTCAAGATGTACGTGTTGGTCCTGGATATTTTTTCAGTGCAAGAGACCATACTTGCACTCTGCCCTGGGGTCCAGCGAAGAAATTGGGGCATTGGCTTTAGCAGGGAGTATTTGTAAAAGGAAACAGGGGGTAATCCAATCCCGCTCCCCCCTCCCCCACAAACCTGACTACACTGGTAGCATTGAATCTTCACAAGAAGGTAACTTTTCAGTCCACCCTTCGTGGCCTCCTCTGTGCCTGTGTTGCTCTAGACAGCACAATTGATGCCGTTTGAGGTTGGTCCTTAATCTGGTAGGGTGCTCAGCATCCCAGCCCTGATCCAGCAAAGCACATAACTGACTTCGGTGCAGGTCTGTTCACACAGTTAAAGTCCAGTTCATCCTTAAAATATCTGCTGGATCAGGGTCAGAGTCCTCTCAGTTGCAATGTCAAACTTTCACTGAGAAAACCAGAGCTGTTCATCACATGGAGTATGTGCCTAATGGCCTCGTGAAGGAGCAACAATATTCACTGCATCTACCCCTTGTTTTCTATTACACATACTATGCTAATTCTGTAGGTGTCCCTGACTCTGCTCCCACCATCTTCCCATGACACTCTTAAGTTTTCTCTCAGAAAGGAGACCCAGAGGAAAATGAATCCAACAGTGTTGTCATTTGTTCTTGGACAGATACTGTAGGTGAGACAGGATGGACACCTGTTCTTCCTCCTGAAACATTCACCATTTGTCTGCTCTTTGTGATGATTTGGGGTTCAAAGGCATGTAGGAATCAACCACAGAAGACATGGAGATGAGCCTGGGGAACCCACAGGGGAAAAGACCTGCAATGGAGGTGGCTCTGGGCATCCACCCATTTTGCTGTGCTTCCCTCCCTGCAGCATAGGTAGATGCACTTTCTGGGGCAGGACAGTACAAATGAGAATCGGCAGATCTTTGGCCATGCAAAACACCCAGCCGTCCTCACGTGTGCCAGACCCACCAGCCACACCCTCAGAGTTTAGGGCCTTGTTTTAAATATCATGAGGTTTTGAACACGAGTGAATGTTAGGATTGGTTTTATTTGTCCAATAACATTTAGTCTTCGGGGCGTTTAATATTGACACAGAGTCTTTGGGGAGAGGGATTGATTTTGCTTGGCTTTGTTGTAAAGCCTTATGCATCTGGTTACACTTAAGATGTTAGCTTTAGCTAACAGCAAGCCTCTTGATAAAATTCAAAAGTACTGGCAATACTGTGGACATAGACTTATCTCCTGGGCACGTTTTGTAAAATTAAGCTATTTTCATTAAAAGAACAAAGAGTAGCATGGTGATGGAGCAGCTGTCATATTTTATTACAAAACACAAATATGTGGGAAATCGATTACAGCATGAGTGCTGTAGAATGCATATTTCCAGTAATCCCCCGCGGCCGGGGGAAGGTAGAAGGCTGATCTGAGCGCAGGAGCAGATGGTAAGCAACTTTAGATAGCTTCACTGCCATTTTCACTCTTTCAAGCATTTGTGCTTCTCCTTTGATCTTCAGATCTTGAGTTTAATGTGTTTCATCTTCTTTCATTTACTGTTTTCACATTTAACTTTCCCCTTTAAATAACTTTTGCTTGGTGGAGTTTGTATTAATACGGGTTTTGTTGTCTTCTGTACTGGGAAATTTAAGAGAGATAGTTGCTGTCTTTTTTTAGTGTTGTTCACATCCAATAAAATACTGACTGCATCACTGCAGAGGACTTTGCCATTCACCGTGCACAGCTGTAATGATACAAGGAAAAAATCCCACCTCGCAAAGTTACTGAGACACAGTGCGCGTGAAGTTACAGTAGACTTTCTTGGAAGGTGGATAGTATGGGAGTGTGATGGCATGTCCACAACAAGCACCTATGGAAGTTTGGTTTCATCATTACCCATAACTTTAATTCTTATAGTTAGGTAATTAAGCTTGCATTAGTATTCTCTGTGCATCTAACATTTTTATCTCCACTTAAAATAATTTATGTCTAAAATAAAAGTATTTTGCAGTGTTTTGAAGTAGAGCAGCAAAAGCAACGTGGGGTTATCTGAGTAACTACATGTGATCTGTGTCTCTGCTTTTTTATAGCTGTCAGAAATGATAGGAACAAAAAGAAGAAGGAACCTTCAAAGCAGGAATCCACAGAAAACTATGAAATGACAGCGGAGTTGGATGATCTCACTGAGAAGATCCGAAAAGCTCACCAGGAAACCTTCCCCTCACTCTGCCAGCTGGGCAAATACACTACAGTAAGTATGGTTTGTGACAGATACTTTCTGGATATGCCTGGATGAGGAGAGTTTTGCATTGGAGGCTTCAGACGTTTCAAATAGATGCAGAAGTAGATGCACCCCTTGCACCTCCTTAGCCATGAAAAAACACAGGTATGCATGCAAATGCATGCTGAAGAGAAGTTGCACTGAATTGTAAGCGTTACTTAGGTGTTTTGTGAGAGACTGTCTGAATGATTAATCCAGCCAAGAGACAAGCTTGGGGTTCATGAGTCCATTACATGCCATTATTCATTAGATATTTGTTGGCTTCCAAAGACATGATCTCTGCTTGTGCATCAGCGAATTACAATTTTGCACATGTAGAGAGTTCTTAAATACTGCTGGATTACTGGTGACCGTCCCAAAGCTACCCAAGGTCAAGGAAAATATGAAATGTCTAAATAAACCAGCTTCCAAAATGCTCATTTTTATTCCTGTTTCAGTCTACCAAAATACCACAAAGCAGCAAAAACTTCTACTGCTTTTAGAAATGAAAAATCAGCCCTCCCATCAAGAAGTTCAGTACTGTAGGAATTTCTCTAGAGGATGAGTCAGGGAAATAATTTTTTGCTATACATTGGTATGTTGCTAAATACAGGCAAGCTCAGTGATATTTATTGATTTCAGAGAGACAATTCAATTTCAAGTTTGCAAATACAGTAATAAAAGAGATGCTAAAAAATAACTGTTAGGTAATGTTTAGAGTCTTGTCTGTAGAGAAATGACTTTTCTGGGTCTGGTCTTGCTGTCGGTTGGAGCAGCACGGGCTGTTTTAGAGGGATGTGCAGAAGGCCCTGAAGTAGTTGAGCATGTGCTGTCGCTACTGAGACCACGAGTTCAGGAGTAGTGTGACTGGGGCAAGGAGACACCTGCCTCCATAGTTCTTGTCCTCCAGCCCCAGCTGGAGAGCTGGGACCAAGCCCCAGAGGCCAGGTGAAATATCTCTATCACTGGATTGCTCTCCGTTCTGAGTAAATGCTGTGCTACTGAAACAAACATTAAATTTCTCAGAGTTACTAGGCAAATCCCTGTGTAGCATCAATATTCACTGTATTAGCAAGCAGGGTTGTGTTTTATGGCATACTCATCTATTTACAAAGTGCGAGGTTCAAAGCTCTCAAGTGTAAGACTTCATATTTCTGCGTAAGAAAAATGAGCGTATATGGTCTGGTGTTAGAAAAAAGCATGTTTTTCATGTTGCTGAAAGTATTTTCACAAACGTTTTTCATATTTAATTTGGAGACACACATAAAGTGGTTAGTACTGGGGAAGGTGTCTGTTCTCTGCGTGCTTCTCTGGTGCTAGCCCTGCTCAGGTGAGATGGAGTCAAAACAGTCAGCGTTGGCATGCCTGTAAATACTGCACAGGCAGACCCCCAGGGGCTAGTGCAGTGTGCCAGGCTGGAAGCTTGAAGGCAGCCAGCTGGTGACATAACCAAAGGCAAAGCTGGAGACGGTGGGATCCATAGTGTGGTCTTTCCAAGGAAATGCCTGGGTTACAGCCCTCCACTACTCCTCTCACCACGTGCTGTTGTATCCTTGTCTTGGAGTGAGTAAAATCTTCCAAACAGGCGCTCATGCTCCTGCAAAAGCAAGAATGCTTCTGGACAAGTGTGAAGAAGTCTTCCCAGTTCAAAGACAGCGAGTTTACGCCTTGTAGAAGAGGTGATGGTATGTACGCAGCTGGAGCACGCAGCCAGACTGGTATGTGTGCCAGAGTTCATTGCTCACAGGCTGCCTTGCAAATAGCCTGGCTGTCCCGGAATAACAATACATCGGTACCTCCCGGCCTGAACGTGTCGGTACGTGCTTTCGTGTTACCTCTGAGTTAGAAGAGTGCACTGCAGCTGGTGAGATGGTACTTCATTCTGGTAATTGCCAAAGATCCTGGAGGGTTGAAAGATAAACTTAGGCACCTATATGCTTGCATTATATATTGGATGCTAAAGTATCATTAATATTTTAGCTCTTTAAATGATACAAGTGGATGAAATTGGAGAGGGTCTTGTTGCATATCGCACCCACCACTGATGCCTTCGTCCTTGGGTTCC